GGTAGACAAATACTTATATGGGCCGAAAAAGAGATCCAATCCAGATTATTCTAAAACACTTCCAGAGAGGGGAAAAGACTTGTCAGTTCCAAAGAGCTGCGTTATAAATATTAAATTTATTACCTCAGGGGATAATTTATTAAGAATCACAGGAAACCTCAATATTTATAAAATGATCCCTACTGATTTATTTATTTGAAGTGGTATGATTTCAACAGATCTCAGTTTTCAAATGCAACTTGAAACTAATAATATATATGCATATTTAAAAGATGCGTAATCTTCTTTTCTGAAAGCTGAATAAAGGCTTGAATTCACTGCCCAGTTGCAGAAGAAATTATCTCTTTCATTCTTGCTAAAATGTCATTCATGATTTCAAATTTTAAAAAATCAAACTATAATATATGTTAATTAAATTGGTTCATTCTAATTGATCCAATATATGCCATTTATCTTGCAGTAAAAACAAACCACTTACACTTTTAATTAAATAAGCACACAACTTAATTTACCCTCTTGCATATGCACATTCTCAGTTACTCTACTCTTACTTCAGTTCTGTGCCAGCAACCCCAACCCTCCCCATACTGGAAAACAAAACAAACAAACCAAAAAAAAACACCCAATACTTAAAACATTTACAGAAAGGCCATGTTAGTTAAGGAGTTATAGTCAACCCACTACTAGAACATCAATAATTAGCACAATCTGTAAAAGACTACATATTTTAATTACTGTTACTGGCCACCAGCATTAAAGGAGAATAGTCCAAAATATACGCTAGTCAACCAAGTTAAGAAAGTAGCAAGTAGAAAAATAGACACAACACACAAAATCTGACATTAGGTTCAAATGTTCAGAATCAGAGTTAGCCTCATGATTATTTAGCCAAGATTATTTTTAAGGATTGGTATAATCTATGTATTTAGTTCATTCAGTTCCTAAGACTAATTCAACTCTATTGGCTTCTCACTTAATCACTAGTTTGTACAACGCCGTAATAGTACTGAAACGTTTTACTACTCCCTGCAAGATACATCTTTATAGGTTGTCAATTTTCCCCTTTCATGCCATTAAGAACTAAATCAACATTAATAAGAACAGTGAGAATTCTGGGGTAAAGTGAAACTTGGAAGAGGATTTAAATAATTCCAATAAGCTATTCATCATGCTTCTTGCTGTAATAGGTAAGTAATACTCCATGATTCTGCACTAAAAATACTTAGGTTTCTTATTGTTATTCTGGGTCATGTGTATATTCCTTAAATTTATATGACATCTACAAAGAAAACAATATTTTGCCTAACAGAAGCTTTTGCAGTAGTAAGGCCGATAACAAAGAATCAGTTTCCAAGAAAAGTTGGCTTGATTTCAGGGACTTCATATCCTTTTCCACACCTGGGTTTTGGATTTGCTGAAAGCAAATCAATCTTTTTTTCCCTTTAATTTAACCCACCCCAAGTGCATTTATAACCACAGATCTTTAATAGTATTAGTGAGAATTGCTAGAATCTGCTCAATAAACTGTTGAAAAATCTGAATTCTCAGTGTAAAAAAAATTCATTAAAATAAAGTAAGCCTGTTTAAATATAAGGAAACTCACAATTTTAAAGTGTGACAAATAGCTAATTTAGGACTCAAAAAGGTTGAAAAGACAGACTATCACAGAATTACTGTTGCATTCTTTGATATTTTTTACAAGCTGTTTGGTCATAACGGAAAAGAGAAAAGATTTTTCTTCTTAAGACTACTTGCAACTCTCTCCATTCTGACCTTTTTATACTGTCACTGCTTTCTCCTCAACTAGGAGGATAATGTAAGTGGAAGGATTTGTACAGAGTTTTTAAAAAACAAAATCAAAATGAAAACCCTCAATAACCAACTGGCTTAAATTAAAATCTAGAGCACCTAAAGGACACAAGTCACGCATTGTGAGGCAGCAGACCACAAAGCCAGAATGAACAAACACTTGAACACCTCTTGGTTTATCACCATTAACTTGCAATGACCATATGGTCATTGAATGGTTTATTTGAAATTCAAACTGCATTTTAGGCTATTTTCTAACTCAGTATTTTTAAAAAATGTACTTTGTTCTAATTAAAAGTTGAAATCATAGTGCCTTTTTCAATCCTGTTTCATTTAATAGAAATTTCCCTCTGGGTGAAAAATAGTGCAAAGTTTTCTTTTAAAAATGCAAGGTTTTCAAAAATTAAAAAAAAATATATATATATATAAAATACACTAAAAAAATGACCAGGAACTTTTGTGTATTGAACATTTTTTCCTTTCCTTCAATTATATTAGTCAGGATTTATTCTTGGACCTATTAATACTGAAAAGAAATTCCTGAAACTGGTGAGATAGATTAATTTACAATTTAGCACATATGGTATCATTAAGCTTTCACATTAATAAAAAACAAATACTAGCATTATAAAATAAAACTACAAAATTGTTTCATAATTATATTTTTATCTTGATAAAATCAAACTAAATTTCCAATCATGCAACAAGAAAAAATGTACATACTTAAGTGTCACTGTGGATTGAATAGCTGTAGATAAGAACACCTTGTCCTTCACCTGAAACTACCCCCTCCATCACAGGTGTTCCACAAGTTGAAGCAGAAAAGTCACAGAACTAGGCCCAGAGAGGTCCCACATCCTTTATCTAAGTTGTACAGAATAAAACAGCCTATGTGTACCTGTCTACTCACAGAGAAGCAAGTGACATAAGTAGCAACTGCATTTATTTGTTCTGGGCAAACTAGCATTTAAAAATATTATTTTAAATTTACTTAAAGGGAAAAAAAGGAAAAAGGAGAAGAAACCAAATTCTTGACAAGAAATACATAAGAATATCTGTCTTGGCAAAAATATTTCTGGAACATTTTAAAAATGACATTTAGAAAATGGTATAAAAATGATTTACTGTTTTTAAGTCCTTGAAGCTTAAGATATATTTGATAATCTAAATAGCAGGCCACGGAGAACAGTTTCAGCCAACTGTGGCACACAATGGCACATTTACAGAATTTTAAATATTTCTTTTAATAATTGATGTAGTCATTTTGAATCATTCTGCATAGGATATCAGGTGTGAGCAGATTGCATTAACGCTGCTTAAACATTTCAACTTGTCAGTATGGCCAACTCGATTTCGGAAATATTTGCAGTATTTTCCCATCGAAACAGTAATAAAGGCAAAATAAATATATGCCACTACTTTATAATCACCGAACATTAATGAATATTTTATGTCTTTTTAAATCTCCCTGTTTAATTTAAAAGGGTGAAATTAAGTCTCCTCCCTGCAATATGCCAATTATCTGTAAATCAAACAATAAGTTGGCCATTATGCTCCTTTTTGTTAATATAAGAGAAGCTAATTTGAAAACACTGAATGGCATTTTTAGGCTATCTGCTGAATAGTCCTTTCTGCCCTCTTGTGGGAGAAAGCTGAAACACACTCAAATAACAGAAACTGGGGGTGGGGGGTTGAGAGGGTGGCAGCAAAATTATGGCTAGAAAATTCAATCCCAAAGGAAAAAAAAGCAAACTATATTTATTCATCACGCATTATACTATTCTTCAATTTTCAAGTCAGCAATAAAGTGAATTTACCTCTCTTTCTTTTGTTGGTTAAACTGAAGTTATTTTAAATCTAAATTTCCTTGTTTCATTATATTCACATACACAATTTAGATTTTACTATCCTGTAAAATTTCAGATGCTCGGAGGTGGAGCCACAGCAAAACATTATTTCTACCAGAAAAACACAAATGATTCTTTAAGGAATTAAGTTTCTTAATTTAGAGAATAAAATACTCATTATGGAAGTTGAAAATGAAATTACAATTTATACATATTTAAAATCCTGAAAAAAATCAAATAACGCAAACCTATGATTCAGTTTAGGAATCAGATCAGAAAAAAATTTTAAAGACTTTAGTTTCTAGTCAATAAACTATTCAAGTAATCAATAAAGAAAATAAACCAAAAGCAATGAGTTATTCATGTCAAATTCAGAAGCTGAAATTCATTAACACAATATAAAAAAGGAAACCATTAATAGTCTACAGAAACAGTTCATATATTTCTGAAAGAAAACACTAGGGTGAAAACTTATTCTTTCACAATGACATTAAGTGATTATTTTAAGCAATGTAGTCTAAGAAAAAAATTATAAAATAATCCAAGATTAAGCATGATTAATTCTCTTCAGAAAAAATTAGTAGACAAATGACTGTTGCTTTCATAATTTATAAGGTGTAATACAACATAGTCATCATTTCAATGTTTCTAAACATAAGTCCTGTCACAGCCTTAAATATTCCCCCCACCCTCCATGGAGATAAATTATTAGCTTTTAGGTGGGTGGGGCCCAAGGCATACCAAGAAGGTACCTCTTCTCTCTTGGGGGAGGTTCTCTTTTGAAACAGTGGCCCTGGTTGGTCGTGATGAAGAAAATATTGACACTATAAATAGACCCTTCTCATATTCTAAGCTAAAAGATAGTCTCCAACAGCATCTTAGGAATACTGCCCAAGGGCAGGATTGAGCTGCTTAAGAAAAGTCCCCTCAAATTCCTTTTAGAAACAGGCAGAGTACACAGTATAAATAATTATTTGAGAGCAACCTTTCAAATAAAATATAAGCATCCTCCAAAATGAATGTTGTCAACAATTTCCTAAGTAGTATTTCTAATAATGACTATAAAAGCATGAAATATATTACGTAATAATCAGTTATTTTTAAGAAGCGTTTCAAGTTGACTAGTTTAAAAATTATCAAGAGTTCCCATTTACCTCTTTCTTTCTAGGTCAAGTCATTTAGTGTATCTACAGTAATCACTGATGCTCCAGTTAATTAAAATTTAAGAACCCAATAATGAAACATAAAGAGAATTTCCAACCAGAACAGATAAGCCCTCTTTAACAGGGTCAACATTAGCTATAATGAGCTACCTTTATTTCTTAGCTGTGAGACATAACTCACCTCTTGAATAGTACTGCTTCCTGAGAAGTTCAGGTTGTACTCCCGCTGGACTTCTCGGTGGGTGATGATCAGCATGAAGTTTTGATTTAATGACTCCTGCAGGGCACTGAAAGGGTTGAAAGAAAAACAAGGAACTTAGAGATGAACAAGTTCTAGCTTGCTTTACAGCTAGCTGCAAAAACCCCAGGAGTACCCTAACCTCCACACAGGCATGTCCGGGCCCAATGTTATCATATTTTCAGCTCCTAAAGGCAAGAGAACACACTGAGAACAACCAAGGGGAGCTAACCTGTTAACTCTTTCTCTACCAAGGTGTTTTTAAATTTCAAGTCTAAATGCCTTGTATACTTAAGAATTTTCTACAAGTCATATATGCTAATTCATAATATCTGCATATGTATCTCCTCCAACAAAACTGTCAATTATATCAACTCCAAATATGCTACTAAAATGTATATTCAAAGACTCTGCTTCAATTCCAAGTGAAATAGCTGTTCTAGAATAACAGAAGTATGAAGCTATTGTTTATATTCATGAATGTTGTATAATAGAATATGATTTCAGTCAAAATTCAGAAAATATTGAAATCTACAGAACTTTACTTGCTATGTAAAAATTCATTCAAAATAATTGTGCTTTCACTTAGGACTCAGTAATACACAGAACTTAGAAACTGGAGAAATCATAGCAACATTTTATAAAGTCCATAACAAAGTTCCAAAATTTAGAAATGTATCAGAACCATGAAGAGTATATGAAATTAGTGACAAAAAATAAGAAACATAAGTCATGGTTCTATTTTTTTCTCCTCCTGAAACTGTCAATTATATCAAATTCCAAATATGCTACTAAAATGTATACACAAAGATTCTGGTTTAATTACAAGTGAAATAGCTGTTATGGAATAATAGAAGTATTAAAGTAATATTAAATGAGTATTAAATATTAGAAACATTATTTTCATCACTATTGAAAATAAAGACCTATCACTAGTATGCCTGAATAATTTCTACTGCCTGTCTCAAGTGTAATTTTGCCATGCCTATGGTACCAGGAAAATATTTTGGGTGTGCTCCATGGTTTTAGCCTTCAACTTTCCTCCTTTGCTCATCTGTAACTATGTGATGAATACACCGACAACATAAAGATTAGAATTAGACAGATAGGCCGGGTGCGGTGGCTCATGCCTGTTATCCCAGCACTTTGGGAGGCCGAGGCCGGCGGATCATGAGGTCAGGAGATGGAGACCATCCTGGCTAACAAGGTGAAACCCCATCTCTACTAAAACTGCAAAAAATTAGCCGGGCATGGTGGCAGGCGCCTGTAGTCCCAGCTGAGGCAGGAGAATGGCGTGAACCCGGGAGGCGGAGCTTGCAGTGAGCTGAGACTGTGCCACTGCACTCCAGCCTGGGTGACAGAGCAAGACTCTATCTCAAACAAAAAAAAAAAAAGAAGAAGAAGAATTAGGCAGATAATCTGTCTGCCCTATTGTCTTCCATAGCGTTCACAGCTTATAGACAATACCTAGCAAGCACCAACATACGTATCATGAAATATTACTAATCAAAATAAAAGGAAATCATACCCAACTAAAATAGAATTTCTTGAAGCAAGGACCTTTGCCATTATATCCTTAGAAATTAAGCATAATGGGCTGGGGGCACTGGCGCACGCCTGTAATCCCAGCACTTTGGGAAGCTGAGGCGGGTGGATTGCCTGGACTCAGGAGTTCGAGACCATCCTGGGCAACATGGTGAAACCTTGTCTCTACTAAAATACAAAAAAAATTTAGCTGGGCGTCATGCTGGGCTCCTGTAGTCCCAGCCACTTGGGAGGCTGAGGCAGGAGAATCACTTGAACCCAGAAGGCGGAGGTTGTAGTGAGCTGAGATGGCACCACTGCACTCCAGCCTGGGTAACAGAGGGAGACTCCGTCTTAAAAAAAAAAAAAAAGAAAGAAAAGAAAGAAATTAAGCATAATGTGTGACACACTGCAGATAAATATTTACTGAATAATGAATGAATTGTGAATTTCTAGAAGGCAAGAGTCTTATTCATCTTTGTATCTCACATGGAAATGTTGCCTTCTGGAAAACTACCATGGGAGTTAAAACTTGACGACTTGCATTGTTCCAGGTGCTAAGGAGCTGCATGCACCACCACGCCCAGCTAATTTTTGCATTTTTAGTAGAGATGAGGTTTCACCATGTTGATCAGACTGGTCTTGAACTCCTGACCTCATGATCCGCCCACCTCAGACTCACAAAGTGCTGGGATTACAGGTGTGAGCCACAGTGCCTGGCCCGCCCCTGAAACATTTTATAATGGGAACTGGTAAGATATGACTTACATTTACATTTATATAAGATTATTCTGGCTGCTCTGGCTACAGAGAGCAAAGACTGGAGGTAGGGAAAGCAGACAGGAGGCTGGTTCAGGAAAGAAGCGATAGTAGCTTGGACTAAGGTGGTAGAGGCAGAGATGAAAAGTTGTCAAGTTCAGAATATATTTTAGAGGTGGAAGTCAGACCACTTACTGAGGGAGTGTGAGAGAAAAACATAACCCCAAGGTTTGTGGCCTAAGTAAATAGGAGAATGGAATTACATTTAACAAGAAAAAGTGGAATAGTGGCAGGTGAGGTGGAGAAATTGAGAGCGAAGTTTTCGTTCAAAATTTGAGATGTCTACTGAGATGTTTTGAGATGTCTATTACACAGTAAAAAGAAAATGTCATGTACAGTTGAATATAAGACTCAAAGATCAAGTAAGAGAGCCCAGAGCAGGCGAGTCAGTAGCATGTAGTCAGTTTTTAGGCTTCGTGGCCAAAATAAATTACCTAGAAAAATAAGTGACACAGAGAAAAGAGAGGCCTAGATGGAACCCTAGGGCATTTCAGTCATTTGAAATCATGCAGAGGAGAATGAGTCAGTTTAAAGGAGATTGACAAATCTTTTTATCAAAGGAGAGAAAAGAAAAATCAAGAAAGTCTAGTATAAGGGAGCCAAAAGAAATAACTGTTTCAAATAGGAGGGCGGGATCAATTATGCCAAATGCTGCTGAGACATTAAAGGTGGGAAGGGCAAAAAAATGACCACGTTCAGGAGGCAGCAAAAAGCTCAATGTGAAGGCTGTGTGAGAGAAGTCTACTGGGAAATGAGGCTCAAACAACAGATGGTGTCAATGATCAATATATACATGTTGAATGAATTTGGAGACAGAAGTGGTGAGTAATGGAAAGACTTCTTGAGGTCTAAAGGCCTTTCCAAGGTAGATCTATCGTAACTATTCTTCAAAACTGGTTTTTTCTCTAGAGCTTGTCTGACATCCCCTCATGTCAAAAACATGCTCACTACAATCTTTGTTCATATTGTTCTTATCCTCCTTTCCTTTGCTCCCTTCCAAATACTGCACAGCTTTTAGATCACCTTTCAGGACTCTACTTGGGTTTACTAATGACCTTCTCTTCTCCTCTGAATTCCTGTATCACATACTTTATTGTCTTGTACAGTTTGCTTTGTTTCATGTGTGGTTACCCTGAATTCTAGACTATATGTTTTTATCATAACTGATTACTTATCAGTATAACCCTTGGAAAGTAGTACACTAGAAGGTGATTCAATTCAACTGTATAAAGATTCAAGAAATACTTCTGCATATTCTGAACTGCATACAAAGAACTACTGATTATCATTTTTTTAAGCCTACCTGAGGTTTCATTTTACTCACAAAATTATACTTCTGAAAGGTTAACTGCCCCTGGTCATCAAGCTACAAAGAGGTAGAACTAATTGTCCCTGATCATCAAGCTATAAAGAGGTGGACCCCAGTCCCTAACCTATATTTGATTACATGTTCTTCAAACCTGAGCATCCTATCTCCCAAAAGGCTAGGCTGCTTGGGCGATACAAGGTGAACAAGACTCCTGTCTGCTAGAAGTTTACCACTCATTCATTCATATAATTATTTGATTCCTATTATCTGTAATAATACAGGAATAAAAGAAATCACTGACCTCAGAGAGGTTCAAAAAGATGTTAAGATTGTGGAGAAGGGAGAATGCTTTAAAGTACTATCAAGAAAAATGGATAATAATTTGATAAGTAGATACACAGGATGATTTCAGACATAGAACAGTGCAGAAATGAAGATGGGGGAATATTAAGAAACGTGTAGAAAGCAATGAGGAAGAAGTGTAAGGAGATGTGAAGAAAGGTTTGTGAGAGAGAAAACCTTAACAATATTAAAGACCTCCATTATGGAGGGCTTCAAATGCTAGGCTAAGGAGCTCAGAATTCCAGAAGTCTGGAGGATTATTATATAGATTTTCTTTTACCTTTACATAAGAATCTATGCATACGTTTAATATTTTGAGTGCTTGCCTCTGCAATTCCTTAGATATGTTCCTTGATCTTGACTGGCAGACGTGTGTAATAACTTTGCAAACAGGTTTGCCAGGACCAGTTTGACCGCCAGACTACTTTAGAACACAAATTTTGTCTAGTTCTACAATTCCTGGATAGCTGTGGAAGAGGGTAAGCTGGCAAGGACAATATTTATGGCTTTAAACTGCTTTGGAGTCATAAAGCCAGATCTGAATCCCTGATTCACTACTTGCTAGTTCTTTGACCTCGACAAGTCATTCATTCTTTCTTCCCCCAAAACATTCATTCTTTCAACCGTATTTATTGAGTGTCTACCATATAAAATACTCTATTTTTGGCATTTAACTACTCTGCAAATTCTTAGAAGAGGATGATAATCCTTCATTCACAGAATTATGAATATTATATTTAAAAAGTCTTTTTTTTTTGAGATGGAGTCTCGCTCTGTCACCCAGGCTGGAGTGCAGTGGCACGACCTCGGCTCACTGAAACCTCTGCCTCCCGGGTTCAAGTGATTCTCCTGCCCCAGCCTCCTGAGAAGCTGGGATTACAGGTGCGTGCCACCATGCCTGGCTAATTTTTTGTATTTTTAGTAGAGAAGGGGTTTCACCATGTTAGCAAGGATGGTCTCGATTTCCTGACCTCGTGATCCACCGTCTCGGCCTCCCAAAGTGGTGGGATTAGAGGCATGAGCCACCGCGCCCGGCCAAGTGAGTTTTTTTGTTT